CTATATAACTCAAATTATCTGATTTAATATCAAAAATTATGATCATTACATGTTATTATATTATAAGTATCTGAATATGTATGGTATCATACTTTAATGAGACAGAAGTTGCCATTCAGATTTTTATTTATAATACACTGTAACTCACACCATCAATAGACTCATGATCATATGGAATATGAATTAATTGATATTGTGAAGTTGAATAATGTAGAAACTTGCCATTTGTATTTATAGTGTCTCCTGGGTGAGCAAAATTCACAAACTTTTATTCTTTAAAAATAACCTTTGTTTCAAAGTATGTTGACGGTGTAAGTTAATATCGTTATGAATTACTTCATACACCAACTACTCATAAATGAGCAATATTAGACAATTCAACGAGAATTTTTCCAGTTTTGGGTATGATTAACCAAGTACCATGGAATTCAAATGGAATTCAAAACTTTTACAAGGAAACGTTTTTGATTGTTTTCTACAGATTAAGGAAAGTTTCCTGAAATAATTCTAAATGAAATAACTGAATAAATAAAGTAATTATATTAGGAATAATTCAAAACATATTCCGATTCTAGCGACTTGACCAATATGCTATAATAGTACCCCACACAAAAGGCTGTTCCCTCAACAGCACAATTCCTCATATTTAAACGCTTTCCCACAGCTCAATCTTAATGAAAATTAGTATGCTTATTCTCTGATATATTTGTGACTTTCAAATTTTTAAATACATTTTGAGTTGAAAAAAAACTAGAAAATTTATAGGTTTGGAAATATAGATATATTTTCTGAATGTGTCAAAAATCATATTTTGCATTAAAAATGTGTCTTTGCCTTTTTATTCAACTAAAATAACAAAAAAGAAAGAGTTGATATTTTTCAGCCATTATATTTATTCAGTGTGTACACATACTATTTCCAAGTATTATGCCACGCTAATATTGTCTATACGTGTATAATTTTTAGTCTTTACAAAATCTTGTTTTCGCCTTTGGAACACTAGGGCATTTGGATTGTGTGATCTTCCTCTCATTACAGTCTGGGCTCCATGGCTATCATAAACTCTGCGTTGGACATCATTCCCAGTAGCTCTGTTGTTGGTGTTCTTGTGTTGGCCCATTCGTGGGTGCTTCCTGAGCTTGGGCACCCTTTATGTTTAAGAAATATAACCGCAACCCAATGTATAAAAAGTACAAATATTACAAGTCTAACCATTTTGAGCAATGTTAGATCAAAAGCTCAAATATTGAGCAAATATTGGCCATAAATCGAGAACTGGCAATATAGTCCATGATATGACTTCCGAATATGAAGGATCCGTAGCACACTATAGAGCAGCAACATTTGAAGCAATATTTATGGAGGTGTATATGTCTTGATTCTTTTAAAATACCATTCGCTGAAAAAATTCCCGGCTTTCGGGTCGAAAAATGTATTTCATCACAAAGGGTCAAAAACGTAAATATTTTGATTGGAACTTTTATACATTTTATGAGACATAGACCGTTATTCTAAGCATACGAACAAAAAATAAATTATCATAATGTAAAAATATACTATAATTTTACTTTATATGTCAGTGTTTAATTAGTGTAATTACGCAAGTGTGTTTTTCAGATTTTGTTTGATTTTTTCAAATATGAGCCAAGCAGATTCAACAAAATTGTCTGGAATATTTAGGTAATTTATGATTGGGAACATATTAGTTTTCTTACCATTTAAAACATTTTATTACCAGATTTTTCCATATCATCGCAAGGGGTCAAACAACATTATTGTTCATATTTTATAAAACATAATACAATAACAAAAAAAATAGGTAAGATTTATATCTAATTAAATGTTACAGATGTATTGGAATGTTCATATATTCCAAGGGCATGTCTAAGGCGAATAACTCTGATATCGTATACAATGGGATAGGAGCATCATAAAACACGAATCAATTGATATTTTAGATGAAATAAATATACGTGTTGCTGTGCTTGAAAATAGGCGAATGGCCCTATTTTAATGAATTTTGAAAACCTTTCGTCCTCCACTTTTCCACATACAACAGAAAACACATACTTTTACGAACAAAATCAACTATTTGTTAATAAACTAGAGTTTAAGAACAAAATAATCATGTATGATTTATTAAAAATTGATCTCGTATTTTTTGTTTAATGTACACCTGAAAAGTTGAAGGTAATAAAAAATGAGCAAAAAAGGTCGCTGTCAACAGATTCTATTTTTCAAACTCTCTGACGTCACAATATGAGACGCTTACTAAAATTCATCATTTGAAATAAAACTTCCATCTACCTTTATCAAGATGAAAAAAGTATAATAGTCATATATTGTTTGAGTTATGAGCGTTTAAAGACGAAAAATAACTCAAAATGTAACGTGTCAACAGGGGATATTTGCCAGATGTTTTGGTAAGAAACTTCATTTTTAAAATAGAAGGCGCGAGAACAGTGGAGAATTGTGAACGGAGTGTAGTTGATCTAAAAACTTCATCGAAACAGCTTTAAAATGATATATAACTTTAATTAGAATATTATCTTATAATCCGGGGAATCAAAGTTATATTCACACATACCCTTAAAAACAAATGCGCCACCTTTTTGCGACACGTCTTACAATTCTTTCTCGACTTTACTGCTAGCTATCATCAAGTTTTCTGATGGTTGTTTCTTCTTTGACCTTACCGCTGGGTATAATCAAATTTTAGGAAGATAATGATGACGATTTTTCTCAATTTTTCATGAGTTCGATCAAGTCTTGGTGGTTGTTTTATAAGCAATTTAGCTTTATCCCATGGTTACAAGGATATAGATCGAATATCAGGTGAAGATATTTTTGATATGTGGATCAAGCTATCATATTTTAGCAAAAAAAACACAAACCATCAAATATCATTTCTCAAAAGTGATATTCGATGGTTTAGATTTTGTTTCAAATTTTGTTTCAACAATTTTCTCAAAACTTTTTTTCGAATTTTTTTTTTTTAATAAATTTTTTCCAAATTTTTTTTCAATACAGTAAACATTTTTTAAGATTGTTTTCTCCAAAAATCATTTTCTCAAAACTTTTTTTTAAAATTTTCTTTCGCTGGGTTAAGATTTCATATGGGATAAACGGACAATCCTATGGTTTTTCAAAAATCTATACGCTCACTCGTATAGATATCAGTATCCACTCATGGATATGAATGATATTTTTTCAAAACCATAGGATATTCCTATAATATCTAACTACGAGAAATATAATTTTAGCTGTAGTCCCAATTAGTCAAGGAAGAGCAACGGGCCTTCCTTTGTTGATAATGTTCACCGCTGAATACAGGTCCATATCTCATCACGTATTGAGACCCATTTTTGTGAAAAACTAAATTTAAGCATCTGTCATTCTTATATAAAAGTGATGTGTAGCATTAATTTCATTAATACCTGAGAAACAATACAAAACGTCGAAACACTGATTTCATAATATTTTGGTATTGATAAGAAAAATAACCTCAAACTTAGAAACCTAATTCATATACCCGCTGTGAAAATTTGGAGACAATTGATTGATTTTTACTCAAAATATCACATATATAACATAGCATATACCAAAAACACCAATGTGACTTTTTCCAAGTTTGTGACGTCAAACTTACCTAAGATTGCCAAACTGACCAAAATCAGGTTGCTCTGTAAAAGTATGCAGACAAATGTCTTTATATATAAAATGCTAATTATGAGCAGAATGTGTTATTAAATATACAAAAAAAATGTACTCTGAATGTCCTCATACATTTTATTAACAGCCCTGGACCATGCTGTACTCCACTTAACCCTTTCCTGACCAAAATTATTTGAGGAATTCAGAAATATGTTGTCACTATAAGCACTGTTATCCTTAATATATCAATGTTCGGTGCATTATGATTCAGAATTATTGCAATAAAATGGAAATATGATAGATTCTTTTGAATTAAATACCAAAAGTACATCGAGAATATTTAGAAGATAAACCCCTGAGAAAATCATATTGACACATTAGTCACAAAATTATACTTATTGATTTCATTGGGCAGGAAAGGGGTAAATATTAAGAAAATATGGCATTACAATGAACAGTTAGGCAATACTGTTCTAAGACCCAAGTGTAAGGACTTTTGCATTGTTATTATACAGCTTTCAGTGACACCTTTATTTTATGAAATATACAACTCTCATGAACAGGATCATTTGTAAAGTCTATAACATATTCTGATTGCTCATTATTAGCATATTATATATAATTACCTTTGTCCACTTAGTTTTGCAGATCAGCCTGACTTTGGTCAGTTTGGCAAATTTAGGTAAGTTTGACGTCACAAACTTGTAAAAAGTCACATCGGTGTTTTTGGTATATGCTATGTTCTATATGTGATATTTTGAGTAAAAATCAATCAATTGTTTCCAAATTTTCACAGAGGGTGTATTATATGCCTCAAATTATGCGTGGAAAGTTTCATTAAGTTTACTTGCCTTATAAGTCATTTAAGGGTTTTCTCAATAGGAAAAGACTTTTGATACAGAGGGTATTTAAAATTATTTTCTGTTGCATTGTGTTCTCCAAATTGTGAAAAGTTGGGATTTTATTTTTGGGTAATTTTTTGACCTCTGTTAATGGCAGGCATAATTCAGCCTAAAAGCCGGAAGTGTATTAAACGGTTATAATAAAAATTATAAGGGAACATATGTAGGTATGCTAATGTTAGGTCAAATATCGCTGCGCTATAGTGTGCTACCAGCTTCTTTATTAGACGTCCTAGATACCAATATTGTATCAGATGATTGACCTTGTGCGCCAATGCAACAAATACAGCAATTTCAAAATCCCAAGATTCGCGTGTTACAAGTATATAAGAAAATAAGCATACCAAGTTTCATCAAGATTGATTTGTTGGAAAGGGGTAGAATATGCGGAACTGTGAGGGGACAGCCTGTTTATGCGGGGTACTAAATATGAGTGTACATATGCTATACCCCCCCCCCCACACCTCAATACCATAAACGGTTCAGTAGAAGTGAATTGAAAATACGCAGCACATTCTAAAATCAAAGTTTGGGTTAGCCTATTTGCATGGTATTCCTACTAGGCTACAAGTTTTTAAGAGTGAATTAATGTCATTTTATCCCAGATGCAGATGATTGTTGTGGCGAGAGGTTCAGTCTTCATTTGCCATTTTCCTGGGTTGCTGACCAATTATAGATTGAATCTGACCTTTCAACCTCTGAAACCAGGATAAAATATGTATTCATTATCGATAGAACATTATTTATGGAATTTAACTTACAATATATATTTAATTTTGCGTATTGATAAAAGAATAATTATCAACAACCTCTAAATTGTCTGAAAAATATCCAGATACATTCTAAAGTACATGACAAGTTCGGCTTTTTGTTTTAGCTTTCTTTGCATTTGTTTCATTGGAGTTGGCAGTTTCTGCAATTTCATTCTGATACTCCTTTTCTCTCACCCGCTTTTCCTTTTCAACAAGAATACTATCTCGTTTGTCATACTCATTTCCAGAGGGCTTGATGACGTTGTTATGAATTTGAAGTTTTATGCTATTCTGTGAGTGGGATGTCTCATTTTGAGCAATATATTTATCCACTGGTGCACCTGCGTTATGCGTCCCTCCCGCTTTGAACTCACTGGCGTGAACCTGGCTGTCATTATTAAGCTTATAAACGTTGGAGTTGTTATTTTTTGGAGATTTTGGAGAATCTATGAATGACTTAGCATCATAGTTATATTTTGAACCAACCGATGATCTGGCATCTATGTTGTTATCGAGTTGGACATGAGAGTAACGTTCTTTCATGCTTAAATCAACGGTACCTTCAGATTCACCGCCACTCAGCATGCCATAAATGCGTCTTCGTTCTTCTTCTATCGCATGCGTGAAGTTACTTTTATTGGTGTCTGGTACGTCCTTTTCTTCCAACCAAAACGTTTTCATTTGGCCTTTACCCTAAAATGATGAACGCGGTTAATTGTCAATCGAAATAAATGTTATAATGTGCATGCTCTTGGTGCAATAACAATTAGTAATGAAAAATATAGAAGTTTCATAACAAACATTTAAATCTATCTAATTCAAAACAAATCCACTACCAAAACATAAATTCTATTTCTACCATTTTCCAGACATTACAACTGACATACAAACACAAGTAATGACGGTATTGTTTTACATAGTATTAGGTTAGTTAGAGGATAGCGTGCATTGTACAGGTCAGTCAAAGAACAGTTCAAAATAACTATGTTTATTTGACTTGACCTGTAGTTGATGTGATCACCTATTATATTGGAAGGTGTGACAACTCATTCGCATGCTTCGTTTCTCTGCCCTCAAGCCAATAAGTTTTTATGGTGATGTGCTTTTCAGAGCCAGAACCCTGAAAGAAATGCCAATTATGAACGCACGGATTATATCAAATGAGGTATACATTTGAATGTTACTTTATCAAAAATCTACGTAAGTCCTGCATTTAAGTAATATGCAGTTGTAGATTCTGCACATCTTATACAATTTTCACTAGATTAAATATTATATACTCTTACTCCAACAAATACAGAAGAGGAAATTAACTGGATTGGGAATACTCCATGACACCCCATATTTCCACTGGTCAAAAGTTAAAGATCATTGAATGCAGTATACAGATAGAAATTAAAATGGTGTGCAAACTGAAATCCGTGTGTGCATTTTTGTTTTTAAAAATTAAAGTAAGCACAGACATCAACAATTAGAATAGAAATAGGCGACAGAGAAGGAAACAATACATTCAACATTCACTGTAGGTATCAATAAATATTCTGGATTCAATGTGAAGCAGTCAGTATATACTTGGGAAAATGATTCAATTATGTCAAAATAGTCAGTACATGTCAATGATAATATTCAGCATAGGGAACAATAGTCAGTTTATACTATGAAATGGTATTCAACGTGATGCAATAGTTTAGTCTAGTTTAGTTTAAAATAGTATATTTTTGTGTCACTGATATAACAATATACATAAAATACATAATAAAAACAATATTTTGTAACATCACCAGCCGGTGCCGACTTATGAGATACAGTATACATTATATCTGAGTGTCACCCATTACTACCCCCAATGGGCAGCTTGGGTCAACATTCATAAAGACAGAGACATATAATGTCTCTGGTAAAGATTTATACATTAATAACCAATGTTATTCCATAATAATACTGTTTTCCCTGGGAAATAAAATCATATTATCCCTCTTAAAATCATATATACTCGAAAAATCATATTGTCCCTGTAAAAAATCATATATACTCGAACAATCATATTGTCCCTGGAAAAAATCATATTGTCTTTTAAAAAAATTGATTTTTCCAATTTTTTCCAATTTTCGAAAAAAAAATTCAGAAACTTTCATTTTTTCAAAAAATTGCAATTATTTCAAAGATTTTCATTTATTTAAAAAAATTGCAATTTTTAATCAGTTTTTCATTTTTTCAAAAAATTTTCAATTTTCTTGAAATATCTTTTTCCTTGAATTCTCAAAAATTAAATTATGGAATAAAAAGGTTATTTCATGCTTGATTTTCAATATGAATTTTATTCCACGGGAAATATGACATTGACCTCGGTAAATATTATATTGACACTCACTCGCTACGCTCGTTCGGTCAATATCATATTTCCCTCGGTCAATATCAATGACATATTACGCTGGAATAAAATTCATATTGAAAATCAAGCATGAAATAACCTATATATATCAATTCACAACTCTGATTAATCAGTTTGGCATAAATAAGCAGTTTATGGAATCTTATAGTCAGCACATACAATGCAATGGTATTCAACGTGATATAAAAGTCAGTACATACTATGTAACGGTATTCAACATGATACAGTAGTGAACACCATTTTTGTGAATGCTGGGGACGCAGTATTAAAAGGATAGTCTCAAAATATATAGGTCTGGGAAATGTTTAAGGCATACTATTTTCACAATTTTATTGATATTTGGTGTCAAATACACATATTTTGGTATATTTGAAGTCCCAAAACGGCTTAGTTTCAGAAATATCCCAATTTTAAATTCAAAAATGACCGTTAGCTCCGCACCCTCCGCTCATTTGCGCCGCACCCAATATTTCCCACAGGCTCTGTCTGCATAGGGTGGTACTATGGAATGTTATTTTACGTGAATCTATACAGGTACGTTCACACCAACGGCGAATGCCACGCTTTAAATCGGCGAGCAAAGCGCCGTCATTTTTGTCATTTTTCTTCATACCAACGGCGCTTTGATGGCGCTTTAAAGCGGCTTGTAAAGCGGCACCAAAGCGTAACAAAGTTTGATTAAAGCGTCGGGGTCGTAATAGGTCGTAGAAAAGCTCAGAGTAAAACGGGATATTCGGCAAGAGCGCCAAAAAACTGTAAACTCTTAAAAAATTTTGGGCGCTCTGTTACGAATCGATTAAGCGCCGAGAGCGTATCAAAGCTTAACAAACCGTAACAAAGCTCAGAAAAACTTGATCCAAAGCGTAGGAAAGCTTAACATAGCTCTAAAAGGTTCCTCACGCTTTGATCCCGCTTTGATCAGGCTTTGTTACGCTTGAAATCACGCTTTGAAAAGCTTTGATAAGCATTATTACGCTTTGATGCGATTATGACGCTTTAAATCAGGCTCTGATACGATTGCAAAACTCTGTTGTGCATTGTTACGCTCTGTTAAGCTCTGTCACGCATTGGAAAATGTCGAGATCGCCGATTCCATGCCGCTTTTGATCCAATGACTATATAAAGATGCAGTAGATCCATAAAACCATTGCATCTTTGACTCGAGAACACGATGGCAGAACAACGAGATCCAGAAATTCCAGATGGACCAGAGCATGACCTATCTGAAGAAGACATGACGTTTGTCACACGGCGTGATATAGCGTGTGAAAACTTTCAAGCGTAACAAAGCCTAGCAAAGCGTTTCAATCCTTGATTAAAGCGTCTCAATTCGTTGGAAAGCTTGAGAGTCCCTCAGGAAAGTGTAACAAAAAGTGTCAGATATTGATGAAAGCGTCTGACCTCGTGTCAGATCTTCATGCCAGATCGTAGCAAATCTTGAGACATCTTAACGAAGCGTGTCAAGTGGTAACAGACCGTGAATAGACTGGGGTCCCCGCTTTGAACCAAGCTGTGTTAAGCTTTCCTACGCTTTGAGTCAAGCTTTGTTGAGCTTTGTTACGGTTTGTTAAGCTTTGATACGCTCTCGGCGCTTCAATCAATTCGTAACAGAGCGCCCAAAATTTTTTAAAAGTTTAACATTTTTTGGCGCTCTTGCCGAATATCCCGCTTTACTCCGAACTTTTCTACGACCTATTACGATCCCGACGCTTTAATCAATCTTTGTTACGCTTTGGTGCCGCTTTACAATCCGCTTTAAAGCGCCATCAAAGCGCCGTTGGTGCGAACGCTTAAACAGTTTAAATTTTTTAGCGCTCTTGCCGAATATCCCGCTTTACTCCCGAGCTTTTCTACGACCTATTACGACCCCGACGCTTTAATTAAGCTTTGTTACGCTTTGGTGCCGCTTTACAAGCCGCTTTAAAGCGCCATCAAAGCGCCGTTGGTGTGAACGTACCATAACACGGCCTAACCGCCTATGTACAACCTACCGCCGAGCAAAGACCCGGAGATGTCTGAAAATGTAGGGGGGGAATTAATAAACTCCTGTTTATATATTGAATTTCTCAATATGAGAAATAGATAAAACACAGACTTGTTTGTTACCGATATAGTTGTTGTTCCAGGCACTCATGTTTGCAAAATAATGAGTACTTAATGCAATATTTACTATCAAATCGATAAATTCAACCTCTAAATATTTGAATAATGTTTTACATCTTGAATAAGTAAGATCCATGGCTGTCTTTACTCCATTTGATTCAAAGATACAATAGATGCAGATATATTACATTTGTTTCACTGTCATACGTTGCATATCATTGAAAATGAAAGACCCGATTATACCACGAGTATACGATTCTATAGGACCCGATGCTACCGCCTGAGTATTCCGATTATACCGTGATTAGAGCCCTATGAGGTAGTGAGTAAGCTTTCGGGTGAGCATATAATACAAGAAAGATTGACCAGTAGAGATTAGGATCGTGGAACATATTCATTTTTATCTATAAATACGGATAATAATTGATTTAAATGCAATTCCGCGCTAGTGTTGATAGCCTAATTTCTATTGTGTCAGTCTGGTTCAAAATGTTACAATAGTATTAATAACGAGAAACCCTTCTTATAAAGGCATTAAATCAAAGTTCAAAAACTCCCAAAAGTAGCCCTAACACCATTTCATCATCAGCACGTCATAAACTCGACGATATCATTGGATATCAACAGATTTTATTCAAGTAATGTTCGGATTCTGAGATCCTTTACACAAGATATTTTCGGATCTTTATAATATTACTCATCGATCACGGTCCGATGTCCGTTAACATCTGATCTTTTAGGACAGCGTTTATGTGAAGATTTTGCTGTTCAAAAGTACTATTTTGACCTAATAATTTGACACTTAATATATTATGCATATGACATACATTTACCGGCCCGAGTATGTCTTATGTATGGCTCGTTATTTATCAATAAAAACGAGTACGAATGAGAAAAACAAATCGAAACCCATCATACGTTTTACTTATCTCTTAATTTGGACATAAAAATATATTTCAACTAAAATTCTGGGCCAATTTCGCCTGTTAGAACATCTAAGTAACGATTTTAACCTTTATTGTCCATTTTCCTATGAGATGTAGTTTGCCAAACATTGGATTGGCGGTATAAGCGTGTCTTACTCGGCGGTAGGTTGTATATAGGCTTCCCTCCGTGTTATACTATGGAATGCTATTCAATGTGATAGATTCGAACATGACTGTATTCACGCCTTCTATAATCTGTGAACAAAGTCAAC